GATGGCCGCTCATGAGCTCTTAAGACCCCAGATGCTACTCACCAAAGTCAGATGTAGAACATTTTCTTTATAAACTACATTATGCCAGTTGAACTAGATGTCCCCCAAGACCATGATCCCCAGCTCTTAGCTCAGTAGCTCAGTCCATCAGGGGGTTGAGATGTGTCTGTGAAGCTTCTATGACTTTGCTGTGGTCAGATTGTACTGACTTCCCTATAAAAGGGACATTTTATCCTAAAAGGATTTTAATACAATATTTATTGCCAGACTAACTTAAATTCATCTTTTAAAAAAAAAAGGCTAGCTAAAACAAATAGTAAAATAACCTATTATGAAAATTCTATTCTTATTTAAAATGGAAAAATATCTCAGGGCTAAAGAATTTGTATAATATCTTGGATTTTAAAAATATATTCATTACTAAGAATTCTGATTTCTTGTGCTTATTATCTAATTTTATCCCATTTATTCATACTAGGAGATGGAGCATTTAAATGACTTCTCCTTTATCACATAATTTTAGAGGCGATAGATTTTTTTAATCCAATTTATATACCATTGTCAGTTACACTTGCTAAAGAAGACAAAGTAAAGTATTATAATGAAATGTGCAGACATCTGGAGTTAGAAATCCAAAGAGAAGAACACACTTGGCATTTCTCAAGCTGAAAGAACTGAAGAAAAAATTCAAGCCTTGAGTTGCAGTATCGAAGGATTCTATGGGCAAAATACTGAACAATGCAGGAAGCATCAAAAGAAGATGGAAGGAATACAGAGTCATTCTACTAAAAAGAACTGGTTGGCATTCATCCATTTCAGGAGGTACCATACGATCAAGAACCAATGGTATTGAAGGAAGAAGTCCAAGCTGCACTGTGAAGGCGTTGGTGAAAAACGAGGCTCCAGGAATTGACGGAATACCAATTGAGATGTTTCCACAAATGTGAGTGCTGAAGTGCTCACTCCTCTATGCCAGGAAAGTCTTGAAAGCAGGAATGCAAACAGATACTTGTACAATAGTGTTCATTGCAGTATTAATTACAATAACCAAAAGAAACAACCCAGGTGTCTGTCAACAACAGATCAATGAAGAAACAAAATATGATATATACCTACAATGGAATATTTATCAGTCGTAAATAAAAATGAAGTTCTGATACATGTTATGACATGGATTAACCTTGAAAACATGCTGAGTGAAATAAATCAGACACAAAAGGACAAATATTATATGATCTCACATACATGAAATATCTAGAATAGACAAGTACATAGAGACCAAAGTAGATTAATGGTTACCAGGGGCTGAAGGGAGGCTGGAATGGGGTTATTTCATAATGGGTATTAAGTTTCTGTTTCGGGTGATGAAAATGTTTTGGAAATTGAGAGTGGTGATGGTTGCATAACACACTGAATGTAATTAATGTTACTGAATTGTATGCTTAAAAATGGTTAAAATGGCAAATTTTATGTTTATATATTTTTACACAATAAAATCAAAATAATAATTTAAAACCTCTCCTTTATATAGACATACTACTTAGACATAGTATATCACCAAGGAAGTACCTCAACAATTTGCTTATGTATTTTTCAGAAACTTTTGCCTTAAGTGTATTTTCATTATATTCCTACCACCCCTTAATTTATGTTCTATTGATTTCTCTTGTTCTTAACTCCTCATCCCCAAACACATTTAATGTGTTAAAGTGTTCAATTATCTCATGTACAGTAGAGGAGTGGTTAATCGTGGTTATATTCATCACTTAACAAAAATTCATTGAGTTCCTCTTATGCACTGCTGTTGGGAATGTAAAATGGCACAACCACTTTGGACAATGATACAGTGCTTCCTTAAAAACCTAGAAATAGAAATGCCATACGATCCAGCAGTCCCACTCCTGGGAATATACCTAGAGAAATAAGAACTGTCACACAACTAGACATATGCATACCCGGCTTCATTCCAGTACTATTCACAATAGCAAAAAGATGGAAACAACCTAAATGCCCATCAACAGATGAATGGATAAACAAATTATGGTACATGCACACAATGGAATACTACGCAATGCTAAAGAACAATAAGGAATATGTGAAACATCTCACAACATGGAAGAATCTGGAAGGCATTATGCTGAGTGAAATGTCAGTCACAAAATAACAAATATTGCATGAGACCACTATTATAAGAACTCAAGAAAAGGTTTACACACAGAAAAAAGCATTCTTTGATGGTTACGAGGGTGGGGAAGGATGCGGAAGGGAAATCACTAACTAGATAGTAGACACGTGTCAATTTCGATGAAGGGAAAGAGAACACACAATATACGGAAAGTCAGCACAACTGGACCAAAACAAAAGCATAGATGTTTCCTAGACACATCCAGACACTTTGAGGGACTGAGTAGCTGGGACTGGGGCCTGGTGACCATAGTCTCTGGGGACATCTAGGTCAATTGACATAACATAGTTTATAAAGAAAATGTTCTACATCCCACTTTGGTGAGTAGAGTCTGGGGTCTTAAAAGCCTGTGAGCGGCCGTCTGAGATACATCCATTGGTCCCATTCCACCCAGAGCAAAGGAGAATGAAGAAATCCAAAGACACCAGGAAAATACTAGCCCAAAGGACTAAAGGACCACATGAACCAGAGACTCCACCAGCCTGAGACCAGAAGAACTAGATAGTGCCTGGCTACCACCAACGACTGCCCTGACAGGGATCACAACAGACAGGCCCAGACAGAGCAGGAGAAAAATGTAGAACAGAATCCAGATTCACGTAAAAAGACCAGAAGTACAGGTCTGACAGAGACTAAAGGAACCCCTGAAACTATGGCTCCTGGACACTCTGCTAACTCAGAACCGAAACCATTCTTGAAACCCACTTTTCAGACAAAGATTAGACAGGCCTATAAAAGAAATAACGCATGTAAGGAACATGCTTTTTAGTTCAATTAAATATACGAGACCACCTGTCCAAAAGCAGGATGAGAAGGCAGGAAGGGACAGGAACTGGATGAATGGACCCAGGGAACCCAGGGTGGAAAGGGGGAGTGTGCTGTCACATTGTGGGGATTGCACCCAATGTCACAAAACAATATGTGTATAAATTTTTTGAATGAGAAATTAACTTGAGCTGTAAACTTTCACCCAAAGCACAATTAAAAACAAAAATTGAGTTCAGCTTTTATCCTGGCATTGTTCTGGTACTGGCTAACACAGCGTTGAATAGACAAACATACCTGTTATCTTATTACCTGCCATAATAATCCCGGTTCTCTTATTACTGGGTATAATAAATTTAGTAGCTTATTACCTACTAGCAAGACACTGTCAAGCAAACCAATGAATGAATGTATAAGGAATACAAGAGTATCAGGTACTGATTAGTACTGTGAAGAAAATAGGTATATGAAAGAGAGTGACTGGAGGCTAAAAATAAACAAAATTAATGCTCAATGATGGCCTCTCTGAGGAGTTAGCAATTGATCTGAGACCTGAATGACAGTAGGAACCTATTACGGAAAGATCAAAGGAAAAGCATCAGAGAGGTATTAGACAGGAATAAGCATATGTTGAGAAGCAGAACAAGGGCAAGTGTGGTTTGAGGGTAGTGATGAAGAGGACTTCTGTTTAAGACTCTGGGGTTTGAGATACTATTGAGAGGAGATACCGCCAAGTGAAGACATCCTGTAAGTTCCAATCTTGGTGGTGGGGAGGGTAAGAGGGAGTGTGGATGAATATGAAATTCAGCATATGGTACTTATACTGTGTGACTGCATGAGATTAGAACCCAGTGGAACAGTGTAGTTCTAGAAGACTTGGGAAGCCAGGACTGAGCACGCGGACATGTCAACATTTAAGAGTAAAGCACAGGTATCTATTAAGGAGACCAACAAGAAATTCTGATCAAATTTGGAAAAAAATGGTGGAAAAAATGTATTTCAAGAATGAGGCAATAGCCGACTGTGTTGAGTGCTGCTGAGAAAGGTCTAGTAAAATTGGAATGGAAAATTGAGTTAGCAATATGGGAGTCATTGATCGTCACAAGAGCAATTGTGGCCTATTTGTGAGTGAGTTGAGAAAACAACAAGAAGTGGAGACAGCAAAAATGAACCATTTCAAAAGTTTTATTGGAAAAGGAAATGGAGAAGTTGGAGCTTGAAGAAGATCAGAGGTTGAGGGAAGAATTTTTGGTTTGTATTTCAAAGACAGTCACTAGAATATGCTTGTAAGGTAATGGGAATAACCAAGAATAGAGGAATAGAGGGAGAAATTAATGAGGTAGCAAGGAGACAGTTAAATTGCAGAAGCAAAATCCTTGAAAAGTTAAAATGGGTTGGCTTCCAAAGCACAAGTGATAACTCCAAAGCACAGGGAGTGATCATAATATGGAAATATTTCTGTGTTAAAATGCTGGAAAACTAAAGCAGGTCAGGAAGTAAATATATTAGATGGAGCCACATGCATTTGTTGTCTTTCATCCATTTTTGTCCTACAATAATACCAGTTTTCTCTGGCTCAACCTGGGACAGCATGATTACAACCATAATAAAACATATGCATAAAGTAGCTTAGAATACACAAATTGAAAATAGATGATCAGCTTACAAGTGTTTTCATTTTTCTCTTCTAAATTGTATGTTTTTACATAATTTTAAAACATATAAGGAAAATGGTTAATGCTTTCTGAATTGGATACTGTTTATTTCAGCTTGAATTTTATGTTAAGTCATTGTGAATGCTGAGCAGAACAGGCAAAGACAGAATCAGATCCATGTAATTATTTGTAATCATTATGGTTCTGTTTGAGCCTTTGTAATCTGTTTTAAAGGATCAAAACTTCTGCTACATAATGTAAGATTCATTTTCTTAAGCCATTTGTTTCTTAGTGATTCATATGTAAAAATTTTAAAATGAATCCATGTAGTGTATAAGATTTATCTTTAAAAATGGATCAGTTGACTTGAATATTTATATCTTCCTTTGCCACAGGCTTATTTATATTTATCTTCCATTGTGCTATGAAAGAGAATGTTCAGAAACAGTGGAGGCGACATCTCTGTTGTGGGAGATTTCGGTTAGCGGACAACTCAGGTAAAGTACATATGTTGTTCATTTGTTTTTGTATGTAAAAGTACTATGAAACTTATGCCATGTGGTTTTTTATCATTAGAGCAATTTAGTCCCAACAGTAGCAAGTTATAAAGTTGGAGCATGTAAAGATGCTTGTTGAAATCTTAGAATATTAGAACTGGGAGAGATCTGAAGACTTTAGACCCAGCCCTCGTATTGTGCAGAGGAGACACATGAATTCCAAATAGGTTAAATGACTTCCCATGGTTTTATGTCTCATTTAGCACCTCAGATTTCTAGAGGTTCCACTATACCATACTCATGTTTTCAAAGTTTTGAGCTTCCCCGATTGCTGTACTAGGCAGAGAGATTTTTCTGTGTAAAAAATACCTTAAGAAAAAATATTACTTCTCTTTTATTTATTTATTTACTTTTTGCTTTCACTGGCTACTTTTTTTTAATCATAGTGATTTTTTTTTTACTGTTAAAGTGGAATTTTAAACAACATATAAAAACAAACCTGCTGCCATTGAGTCTATTCCAATTCATAGCAACCCTGCAGGATTTCCAAGGCTATAAATCTCTAGGGAAGCAGACTGCTACATCTTTCTCCCGTGGAGCTGCTGGTGGTTTCAAACTGCCAACCTTTCAGTTAGCAGTTGATTGCTGTAACCACTGTGCCAGTAGGGCTCCCAACAACATATATTCAGGGTCAAAGTCAGAAATTTATCTGTTTCTTCAGTTTATCATATTGTTTCTATGTCAGTCTCTTCTTTGAGCCATTGCCAGCATATCAGAAAATCAAATGCTGCAGATAAGTTACTTAAATAATGCAGTGATGTTGCTTCAAAGCAGAGCATATTACCCATAAAACAGACTGTTGGCGAGCTATGTCATTTCTTTCAGACTGGAGTAAGACAGCTACCAATATCATCAAGAAAAGTTCTGATAATCTAGGAAAATCTTTGTCTTCAAGCTCCATTGGTTCCAACTCAACCTACCTTACATCCAAATCTAAATCCAGTTCTACCACCTATTTCAAGAGGAATAGCCACACAGGTGAGTCATTCTGGCCATGGTAAAGATGTTCTCTGATTCCAATTACATTTTCATTGGGAAGATTGGCATATCTTGGAGTTTGATGGATCACAGTGCCCAACAGGGTGCTTATTTTAGATTTATGAAAATCAAAGTCTATTTCAAGACTTTATCCAGCACCTTTGTGAATATTTTGTCTATTTGCAGCCAAGTCTATATCATCAACTCTGAATGTTATTGTAACATCATCGTTTGATACCAAGCTCAATTTTCTGCAAAAATTGTAGAATTTTTGTTTAAAAGTTCTGTCTTTTTATTTTAAAATATAGAGACCGTGAGTTTCCAGTTATTTCAGACTAGCATGAAAGATACTTGACAAATCGTCATAGGAACAGGGAGAAACATCATCCAGGGCATATGTTACATTTAAGACTTATGTTCTTAACCATTGGGTGCTGTTATTGGCAGTTGCTCTTTAAATCACTGATTAAATATGAAAGAATAGAGAACATAATATTTGGAAAGTGGTACAGCCTTTGTTCCTCTCCTGTTTTCTCTTGTTAATTTACTATGACTACAAGTTCTGACACTGAGCATGTGTATGAACAATACCGACAACAACGTGGAAATAAAGAATTTTTTTTGCAGTACTTGCTAGCCACTGAGTGGTGTGAAAAGGTGTAATCTTTTAATAACTTCAAAGAAAAATAATAGAATCACTACTTTCAAATTCTAAACAAATTTCTAACAGACAACTGTCTACATTTAGCATGTGGCACTTTCCTAATTAAAAATTCTTTGAAAAGAAAAATGGAAATTAAAAAAAAAATTATAGCTATTAAATAGGAGCAGAGGTGAATGGCACATAAAAGGTTAATATTTGATGTTTTGGAAACAGAGAGTGAGGAGTGTGGTGTGTAATATATCTGTAAATGTCCAAATTGCGAACACTTGAATTATAGATGACCCTCATGTACATTTGAATTCTTATACACAACCTACCTTACACCACTTCCTCTGCCTTGTTACTGGAGTGGCCATTCCCTGGTCTTCACGATGGCGCTGTGGAAAAAAGTCTGAGTGTTTAGAGAGTTTGTTAATTCTGAAATTAATTAAAGAAAGATCTGAAACTTGGAGCAGCTTAGGACAGCAGTTCTTAGTTTCTTGGAGTCAAGGGTATTTTTAGGAATGGAAAGAAAGCTATAAACTTCCTTCCAGAATAAGGCACAGCCTCTCAGTCATGCACACAAACAGTTTTACCAAAAATTCAGAGCTCTGTATACCCTTGTTTAAGGATACCTGATGTAAGAAAATTGATGACAGGTACCTTATTCTAATCTACAGTAGTCACCTACTTGGTAGTTCTCCAGCACAAAATACCCTTTTCTTATAATACATGATTTTTTTTTTTTTTTTACTTAATCAAACTTAAAATCAGATACTCATTTTGCCTCATTATCAGTCAATTATAAATGAATAGGAATTAGACTGATTGAATTGTTTTCTTCTTAACACAATAGAGAATAACTAGCCAGAAGAAATGCTGCTATTAAATGGGGGAGAGAAGATAGCAAGGTAGATAATTTGGAATGTGGGGAACTTTGGAATTATTAAGAAAAGAAAATTGACTAGAAAATAAGAGGAGATTCAGAAACTGAGGTACCAAAGGTTAACTTTGCTAGTTCAAAGTGATTTTTTTAAGAACATATGTTTGTTTTTGTTTCCCATATAACAAACACTTGGGGCTAGATGGATTCTTTTCAGCTAGAGTAAGGATATAACCAGCTATATGACTTTACTTCTTTGGGATAATAAATTATGGTTTTCAGTCTTCTGATTTCCCAGTGGCCTTCTGGTACTCATCAGTTCTCAGTCGGGCTGCTGGTGTATTTGGAACCCCGCAGGGTATGCAAAAAGTCACTGCATATCATGAATATCTAGTTGGTATATTTCTTGGAATTGATCTAGACATTCATATGTTTATGGTGTAGATAATGTCTTCTAAGAGCATTCCTTCAACAAATGTGGATCATCCAGGTAAACTTTCATTACTTTTTGGAATGCATGAATTTTTGCAAGGTAAAGAGAATATTTGCATGGATTAAGCTAAGAATCTTGCTGCACCAGGGAAATTGCTTTTTCTTTGTGATGTGATATTTCTAAGCTAGCACAATGACATTCCTGCATTGAATTGGAATTTCTGAAATTGCAAATGGTAATGTGCTGTGCTGGCTCTTGTCTGCATGGGGTGTCTGCAAGCTGCTCCTTCTAGGAAATGTACCATGCTCTGGAGTTAGTTGGGTCACATGTCAGGTAAAATAACAACAGAAAGGAGTATTTGAGAGAAGGTTTGTTATAGAAAGGAAGTGAAATTCTATACTTTCCATTGCTGTTATGGGTTACTGGATATGTCATGGTACATTCATAGAAGTCATAAAAGATAAATTGTCAATTCCAAGCCTGCTTTTTGAGGATTTTTATCTGCTTGAAATTTTAGCATAGGTCAAATAATAGTTCATTTCCCTAGCCCCTGGTTTTCATTATTCCAGATATAAGCAAAATCAGTATTACTCATAATTTAATGTCTACTGAGAAGACTGGGAATGCCATATATATTGAAATACAGCCCCTGTTCAGACTGTTACTTTATTAGACTGTGAAGACTCATAAAATTGGATCATATCTATGAAATGGAGCTGGTCAAAATCTCTGAAAGTACATGCCCCTGGAGATTGTCCAGAAGATGAATGAATATATCATTGAAGTTCTTCTGAGGATATGTGGTTTTTTAAAAATATGAAACATGAATTGTTCACTGTTGGGATTTAAGTCATCAGAAAAATCCCCAAAAGAAAACCAATGGCTAGTGAATATATGAACTGGAAGAAAGTACAGAATTGATCAGCTTGCTGGGAGCCGAGTGGGGAGGGAGCTTTATATTCTGCACCCCTGAGCCTTCTCAGCAGCACAGGGACATAATCATTCTACCATGTTTCAGTCTGCCCATTATTTCCATTCCATGAATCATCATCTGTTCCTCTCTCTTGCTGCTTTTAGTGTGGGATGAGAGCACCATTTTCTATTTTAGTCCTCATTTTATATTTAGTGTCTACTCCAACACAAGGCAACAGCTGGACAACTAAAATAGCTTCCAAAGACAACAGATATAATGTTGATGGTTTTAACCAATTATTGATGGATTTTTAATGTTATATCACATACGAGGTCCAACTTATTCAAAACATAAAAAGCCTGGACTGAACATTGCAATTTTGGAGCCATGGTTCCTTAAATCATCTTTTCAGGATGGAGTTTTCTGCCTCTTCTGTACTGAATAGAGAGCATATAACTGTGGGAGACTGAGTACTTTGTCGGAGGTCATATTGGCTCTGTCATCAGTGTGAAATCTCTGCTTAATCTTAGGGTAGAATTTTCCTCCAGAGTGTTGGGAGAAGAAGGGGGGAAGGTACTTACAAGATACTCCTGTAGGGGATATGAAGACAACCATTTGTATTTATAGATAATGGAGCTTGAGCAAATTTCAGAGCACTATCTGAGCCAATTTTAGAAAGCCTTGGGGTCTAGAAAAATACCATTTAATTATATGGTACTGAAAAATTTAGAACAGAAATTTAAAATACTGCAGTCTATTTCTATATATAAATTGCTCTGATATTATTGCTGTCTGCAGTAATATCATTCTGAGACTGTAGCATAGTTCATAACACAAATATATTTATATTAAAAATGTTCTTGGTGAAGAGCATTTTGATTTCTGTAATTTAAAAAATAATTTTAAAAATACCTTTTTGTTATATTCCAATCATTTCACAAGCTAAAAACCATGGGGGAATATGTTCAAATTAGCCTTTCATGTTTTTTTTCATTCACTTTTATTCTCCAGAACCCTTTAAATTTTAGTTTTATAAAAAAATGTATTATGAAAATGTCAAGCATATATAAAAGTAAAGAAGATAGTATAATTAATCACCTTGTGCCCATCAGCTCTTATAAACCCATCCCCTTCTTCCCTATATTATTTTGAAAACATATCTCAGACATCATGTTATTGCTTCCATAAGTTTTTGAGACTTTTAATTCATTCTGTAATCTGTCACCTCTTCTTTTGAGTCATTTGCCAAATATATTTTGAAGCAACTTTCTGATTTTTTTAATTCATTGACTCTTTGAAAAATTCCATTTACAAAAACATTTCTTAAAACAAACCCCAACATAAATTACTAGGAGGCATATTAACATTCAGTGAATATTAGGAATGCACTTTGAAGATGAAAAACATGAAATTTTAGTGCTGCATATTGCCAACCTGAGAAAGAACCAGAGCTTCATTTCCTTTGTGTACTTCTCTAATGGAAAAATAAAAGTGTTCAGCTTGGCATGTCACCAGCTCATCACACATGTCACCAGCTCATCTTGCAGCTTAATTTTTTGTATCCTTTCTTGCAGACAGTGCATCCATGGAAAAGTCCACATCAAAACTGACCCATGCTGATGGAGAACAAACATCAATCATCCCTGTCCATCACGTCATTGATAAGGTCAAGGATTATTGCAGTGCTCATTCAGATAACTTCTATAAAAATATTATCATGTCAGACACCTTCAGCCACAGCACAAAGTTTTAGTATCTTTACTATAAAGAAAAGGAACTAGTCTGTAGAAATGTGGCGATCTGTATGCAGTGACAAAACAATGGGCAGATATAAATATACTATTACCTAGGTAACTGCATGTATATGAGGAACATTTTTGTTAAGAAGGCATTTGTGAAATGCAAAATTCACCTGCTCAGTGTATTTCTTTCATGGGGAAATGTTTTACCATTTCTAAAACCGTCATCCAGACAGAAATGTGACTCAGCTGCAAGGAATATGAGTTTTTTAAATATATATATATACATATATAACTGAATCAGATTAATCAGAACTCAGAGGGGAAACATTAAAATCAGAGGACAAGGGAGAGGTAAAGGTAAAATTGACCCTAGGTTAGAGCTCATTCATCCCTCACCTAATAGCTAGGTTTGGTTGTAGCTATTTTCTCCATCATCTTTCTCAACAATAAAAAGCACACTAATATTTATAACTATTTTGGATATCCACAAGTCCCATCCCAGTACTGGTTTCTATTATTGCAGTAACATTTTCTCTTCTTCAATGAAATTTCAACCACATGGAGAAAAGCATGTTTAATGTCTGACCCAAAAATTAAAAAAAGGTGTTTTTTTTTTATCATACCAAATTCTGAACATTCTGGACCATAGCTGCTTAAGAAAGAAACTGTTCCCAAAACCTTGGCCTAGATAAAATGAGGCAATATAAATTTCTAATATTTAATTTATCCTTTTTATGCGTTAAAGATACCCAAGACACCAGGCTTAAGGATCATCATTAATTAGGATTTAATCCTATACATTTGAGTCAAGCCTAAGGTTGATGTTCCATCAATGTGGCTCTCCTAATAGTTATATAAGAATGAATTTGTTCCACCTCTGCTCTGGCTTCTTCAATGTATATTGAGCCTGCAGGCTCATGAGAGGAAGGAGAATTTCCATCAGGCCTGCCATGTACAGTACTCTCTCCCTTTTAGGAGATACAGTCATTGAGGTTTTATGGTCCTGTTCTTGCTAAAACATTTTCAATCACATAAATAAAAAGCCTCTTTCTTCCCCTTTTCAAGAGTTTTGTTCCAAGAAATATAAACTGAGACATATAGGTGATTAATCATAATCAAAATAAGTCAAACATGTGAGCCTACAATTACTGTTCTAAAATTTAATTGTACATAAGTCTTCTGAATATATTCTGTAAGAGCCTGAGGAGGTCTGGCTAGATAGATGGTGTGTTATTTATGGTTTTGGCTGCTGCACACAAGCCGTGCATAATAGTAAGCAGCTTACCTAGCTCTCAAACTGTCCTGAGTAATGCATTCTTGCTCGTGAATGTTTAGGAGATCACATTTTAATTTTTCTTAAATAATGGAGTTGTATCCAATCTCTTAGAAATCTATCTCAGTAGAAGCTCTATGTTTGCTCTGGGAAACATCTGGCTCTGGAAAGTAAGCAGTGTAAGTGATGAAAAGATGAGACATGCTGGTCAGCCAATCTGCTTAAAGGCAGAGGCCAGAGCTGAGCACCTAGAGGCCTTTCCCTCTGCATAGAAAGTTAGCTCTCAGTATGAGACATAAGAGAGCTTCCAGGCTATGCAGCAAGTCAAGGGGCCTCTCACTTATCCATCATGAAGCTATTTGCCAGGCTTGGAGGAAAGATGAGGTGATGTGGTGGTGAGTTTTTATTACCACACCGTTTTGCAGTAGTCTGGAACACCACCACTGAAGACATGAGCATTGCCCAGCTTGGTTTTAACAGGGGAGGGTCGTATTCAGAAGAAGAGGAGAGTAAATCTTAAAGTCTCTAAGGTTCACTGTAGTAGAGCCCGATCCTTTTCTATAGACATATATTAACAGGCTACTTATTCTGGCAGAGGTTGCATGTAGATGAAAATTAGTCGTAAATATTCGCTGAATATTTATATACTTTACCCCAAACCTTAGAGGTATATGATAGAATTTAATTAGCTTTCTACTGTGAGATTTATGCCCAAAAGTGCTTACTTAGTTGATAGTAATTAAGGCATAACTTCAAAAATGAGTTTGCTTTTGGTTTCTAATCATACTCCCCCAGATGTGGGAAAACTTTTTTTTCATATTTGATGACTGTGTCAGCTCAGCTTTGGAAATTTTTAGTATCCAGGTGAGGAAAAATGAAGAATCAACTGGATAGAAACGTTTGCAAATGGATGTAGAAGTCAACCAAATTCTACCTTCAGTTCCAAATAAGCAGCTTTCATCTGCATTTAGGACATGAATTTAGTGGAGAAGCCAACATTTAGTGTAACCTAACTTTGAGAATAATATAAATTCAAAGAGTTTTTTTTTAATTTTGTTTTTTGTTTTTTTAAACTACGTTGTGTTAGAGTCTTAGTCTAAGATCTTGAGATATTCTTCTTTCTTGTTACCATGGCTTGCAATGTATATTTTCTTCGTCCATTGTTGGCATAAACTCATTTGTACATATTTATTTATTTGTGTTTGTAAGTGTCAACTTGTTTCATATCTCAGCTTTATGTCACCTGGCTTTCTTATTTCAATTAACTTTCTATTGGAGAAACTGTATATATTTTTCTGAGTACTTTGTGAAATAGTTTTCTGTAGCAATATCTTTGAATATGATGAATAAAAATGACTGTGAGTGCAAATTAGAATTAGTAGTAATAAGCTACTATAGCTGATTTGCCATTTAACTTAAATGGAAAATGTTTTTCAAATAAATACTTGTGTTGTTCATGTTCCAAACTATTAAATTCCTTTATGAGTGAATGTTGTTATTTCTGACTCTTCAGTAGGAAAAGATTATTTGACAACTGGAAAATAACCTGCCACCAATTAAGTTAGTGACGGGACTACTTTGCCAAAACACTAGGAATAAATATATTACAAAAATCCAGTTCACAGGAGATTAATGCATCTTGAGGTTTTTAGATTTTTTTATTGTGACTGATGCAAAGCCAAGCTCTGTGGGAGATTAAAAGTAATGCAGGTTTCTTTTTTGGGAAGTCTTCAGCATCCTAAAAAGGGAACCAAATCAGTAACATTATGTAGAAATTAGGACCTGCAATGTTTTTCTCACATTTGTGGTAGCTATTTTCATTGTTGGAGGCTTAAATTTGATAGCATTTAGCCAAATTCATTTGCATGATTAGAACAGAACCTCCCCTTCTTCCTTTACTGTGGTTAATTAGGTTAATTCCTTACTTCAGAAAGCCAAGGCCCCATTTGGCTCACAGCCCTAATCAGCAAAGTGTATGCCCAGTGCTAAGTTGTGAGGCGCTTTGGCCAGGCACCGCTGAGCCAACCTCCACAACTCCTGGCCAAGCCATGCTAAGAAAACAGACAAGTAGTTGCTTAGGGGCTCATCTACAGTATTTATGGGCAGGTTACTTCAGAAAACATTGAGAGCGGCCTTGGGGAATAGTTGGGAAACACTTGTTTGATCTGCAGGCTAACGTGTTTATAGTATTTCTGAAATCTGAAGGAATTGGGCTTTATAAATACAGTGTCTTGGAAGCACTTCTGTATTTTCAGTTGAATAACATTCCACTTCTCTCATATAAAGGCGTCAAATTTATCTACCTCTCACTCTCACTCTCTCCCCTCCCTACCCCAACCTCCCTCCTTTTCTCACTTCTCACCTCTTTTCCTATCTCCCTTCTTTTCTCTTTCCCTCCTTCTCACCTTCCCTCTTCATTTCTAGGAAGAATGATTAAAGTAACACTTTTCTTTGAGAAAAATAATGTGAATATGCAAATGTTTGCATTTATGTTCTATAACCCATTGCTGTTGAGTCGATTCTGACTAGCCTGTCCAAAAAAAAAAAAACGTAAAAGACATGACGTTTTATTACCACAGGCAGCTCTAACTTAAATTGAGTAATTAGGACTTGACAGAAAAAATATCAAATTCTTAAATATGTTTGAGGACCAGACACTTTCTATTTCCTATCTCATGTAATTTTCACCACAGTTCTGTGAGGAAATACTTATATTGTAATTTTTCATTTGGGGAAACTGGTGATTAATGATGGTAAATAACTTGCCTGGGGTCACAGAAAAAGAAAATGCAGGAATCAAATACAAGTCCATCTGATTCTTGTGTTCATTCTTCTACATCAACGTACCTAGCTGCTTTCAGAGAGCCTACAGCCTTGTGAAAGAAGAGAATCCAAGGACAGAATAATGCTGCGAGATACTTCCAGAGCTTCAGAGGTAGGCTCTGGACTAGAAAGACATGAGTCATAATCTGGTCTTTGAGGTTCTGATAGGGCTCTTTTGAGGGTAAGGAAAGTCATTCAAGGCAGAGAGGTTGGAAAGTCCAAGGCCTATAAACCAAACCACACCTATTGCCATCAAGTGGATTCTGACTCATAGCGACCCTATGGGACAGAGTAGAACTGTCCAGTAGGGTTTTCAAGGAGTGGCTGGTGGATTCAAACTGCCAACCTTTTGGTTAGCAGCCTGAGCTTTTAACCACTGTGCCACCAGGGCTCCAAAGTCCAGGGCGGTGAGTAGAAAATAGTTGAAGTTGACCTGACATCAGGGTATGGAAGAGTGGTTGTAGAGAGGGGCAAGGAGCCTTGAATTTCAGGCTAAGCAGTTGTCATTGAGTCGACTCCAGCTCATGGCGACCCCATATGTATCAGAGTAGAACTGTGCTCCATAGGGTTTTCAATGGCTGATTTTTCAAAAATAGATTGCCAGGCCTTTTTTCCAAGGCACCTCTGGGTGAACTCTAACCTCCAGCCTTTTTGACTTTGTAGCTGAATGCATTGACCATTTGCACCACACAGGCTCTAAGAAGGCATAAGAGTTTCTGGGCAGAGAAGGAACCATATCCAAGTTGGGCTTTAGGAAGGTGATTCTGATAGAATAATTAGAAGGAAAGGGGACTGGACTCAGGGAGAAACTTTTACAAGTAGAGGCCCCAAATCAGTTCATTAAAATATTTTTATTGGCTGTGTTTTGAAAAGTCATAACCAAACAATATTCTAAATTCTCAAACCATATTGGTTGAGAATTTATTTAAACACCTGTGAATAAATGGGTAATGAATAATTTCAGACATACTCCAAAATCTTTAGACTCTTTCTAATAGAGTCAAGAGATTTTGGAGTATGTCTGAAATTATTCTTGTTGGACTTGGCTTATTTTCATTCTGAGTTAGTTAAAATGATTTTGATAAATTTAGGATGTCAGTTAGAAGAAAATAGGTGACGTTGTTAGGTGCCATCCAGTCGGTTCTGACTGATAGGGACCCCATGTACAACAGAATGAAACAGTTCCTGGTCCTCTGCCATCCTCAAAATCATTGGTATATTTGAGACCACTGTTGCAGCCACTGTGTCAATCCATCTCATTGAGGGTCCTCCTCTTTTTCACTGACCCTCTACTTTACAAGGAGCCCTGGTGGCACAATGGTTAAGAGCTCAGCTGCTAACCGAAAGGTCAGCTGTTCAAATCCACCAGCTACTCCTTGGAAACCCTATGGGGCAGTTTTGCTCTGTCCTATAAGGATGCTATTAGTCAGAACTGACTCAACAGCATGTAATAACAACAGCTACATTACCAAGCATGATGTCCCTCTCCAGGAACTGGTCCTTCCCAATAACATGTCCAGAGTACATAAGATGAAGTCTCACCATCCTCGCTTCCAAGGAGCACTTTGGCTGTACTTCTTCCAAGATAGATTTGTTCATTCTTGTATTCAGTATTCTTTGCCAATAGCATAATTCAAAGGCATCAATTCT